TAATTGATTCACTACAGGCAAGGTGCTGCCATGTTTTGATTCCCTGTACAATTCCAATTGCCCTGTGTGACTGGCATAGGTAGAAAATGGCATAATGGTAAATTTTGAAGTTTTGTGTGTGTGTGTATAGGCAACCTGTGTTATTGTAACCCCTACAAATTATTGATTTGGTTCAGTGGGTTGCAAACCCTTAAAAGAAGGAGCTGTACTTGCTAGATCAGTTGCTGAAGGGAGAGAGAGAGAGAGAGAGATTGAGATGGGAAGATATGTGTTTACCAGGGATAAATATTAGGATCTTATCATTTTTGAATTAGGTAATATAATTTCCCATCATTGCCATTGGTGTCCCTAGGGTTGTTGTCACTCAATCTGATAACTCATGGTGTCACACATACCCCATTGACCTCCTCCCATTTCACCCCATACAGAATCCTTAGTAATGCTTTTTTGCACTTATGTTACTCATAAATCCTAATTCCCTTTTACCACTGAATGTAATGTTAATAGTTGTGACATAAACAACCAGAAAAATTAAAATTATACCTTCAAATTGCAATAGCATATGCACAACCTAAATATATTTACATATACATAGTGAATATTTGGCTAAAATGTGATGTTTTAAAAGAAATTTTAAAAATAATATTTAAAAAAAATAAAAATATTTTTTTAAAATTTGAAATTTTAATTTTTTAAAAAATTCTGGGGGCCCTACTTTCTCCTTCCACTGAGCTTCACCCCGCTCCCACTATCTCTTAAAGAATTTTAAAGGGAAGCAGATGGATGCCACAGCTCATTTCTGTCCAAAGATAGGTGTTTGAGGAGCAGTGGTATCACACATATCCTTTGGGGTGTCACCTGGTGTGGTCCACACGCCCTGCACCCCTTAATGCTGCCACTGATCATGGCACCACCTTTCAGTAGTGGTGGGATTGTGTGCTCCTGTGAGGCAAGAGGCGGTTCTGCTGATAGAGTCACCCAGTCAGACCAGTTTTTGTTGAGGAGCCAGTCTAAGGGCCGTTGCAGACTGGCCCAAAGGGCTGGCCTGGGGCTAGAGTTGGGGTGGGGCAGCTGCATGCCGGCTGCCCCAAACCCACCCCAATGCCATTCTGATGCCGTGTAGCCGTATGCATTGCGTGCGGCTTCAGGACGCCCTTCCGGCACAGCATGCAGACACACTGTGCCGAAAGGGTGCGGAAGAGCCGTGGTGCCAGCTCTTAGGGCATTTTGCCATTCTTTTAGGGGTGGCAAAAGAAAGGATCGGGGCGTGGGATTGAGAAGGGGTTAAGTCTACATCAGCCCTTAGTCTGCCGAACAGCTATGGGGAGCAGCAATAGGGTGACGGTTGACACTGGTGGAGGATCTCTCAGAGACAACAGCAGTAGCACCATAGCTAACACTTTTTAGTATTGTGCAGAAGGAGGCACGGGTATCCCACTCTGAATGTCTTTTATCATGAAATCTCTATGATGAGACAAACTAAAATAAAACAGGAGATAGAGATAGAGATAGAGATGGGCCTAGCCTGAAAAGAAGAAGGCCCTCCCTCCACCTGCCATCATCAGGAGGAAGAGTAGGCAGGCCGGCTCCATCGAGCCTTGCTTGGAAAGAAGAAGACCCTCCCTCTATCCGCCATCATCCGGAGGGAGAGAAGGCAGAATCCGAGCTGTCTTAATCTTATTATGTTTATTTCAATATTGTATTTATTTAACATTTGTAAGCCGCCTTGATTGTTTAGGCAAAAGGCGGGATATAAGAAATAAATTATTATTATTATTATTATTATTATTATTATTATTATTATTATTATTATTATAGTACCAGAAGATAAAACTCACAAGTTGGAAGGTACTCAACCAAATCCTGAGGAACAGCAGAAGGCAAGAACAAGTAGTACTGTGTCTAATGGACAATTGGACTCAAGCAGAAAGGATGTTCAGAAACAGCAAAAGGATGTTTAGAAGAAAATCTAAGGGGGAATTCCTTACAGTGGATGTTATGTTATTTGTTTGTATCAATTCTATATTTTTATTTAAGGTTTTGAGGTTGTCTACAATAATATCTGAACAGTAAGATTTCTACAAGCAAGTACTGCACTCATGCTTTGTGGGCTGCATAGAGCTTTGGGAGACTATATGGATATGGATTCAGTATAAAATACATTGTATTGTTGTCATTTTAAATTAAAGTTGGATTAAATTGCAAACTGGTTAAAATCTTATTATGAGTGGGTATTGTAAAGCAATAATTATCACCCAGAAGTTATTATGGTATATAGATGAAATTTTGTCAGTATCATCATTGGTCCCTAAGTGCATGATGTTGAGAAAATCAGCACATTGTGTCCTTTATTTTTGTGACAGGTTGTGCCAGAAGTTACTAAAGTGTAAAATCCTCATAAGGTGCAATCTGCAGACTTCTACAATAATGGTATTTGGAGGATCAAGAAATGCTGGGGAAAATGTGTAAATCTGGATGGTGACTACATAGAGATAAGTTAACTACAAATAAAAACAGATTTTTAAAAGTTGATAATTAAAACTTTACAGTACCCTCTCATGTTACTGCACAACTTTTTCCTTAATAATAATAATATAATAATAATAATAATAATAATAATAATAATAATAATTTTTATTTATATCCCGCCCCTCTGCCAAGCAATCAGGGCGGTGTACAATAATCACAACAACAAAGGAAATAACATCAGGCAAGTAAATAACATCAATCAAAACCCATCCCTCCTTCCCACCTTCACCCACCCCACCCCTCAAAACAAATCAAACAAATTAAAAACAATTGTTAAAAATATACAATATAAAAACCCTATACAATTTAAATACATAATACATTTGAGATACAAATTGCGTAGTTGCTGGGGAAGGGTTTTAACTCTTCCCGATTTCTCCAGCCGCATACTAGCCACCGGTGAGTTAGTAGGGAAGGTCTTAGTCCCTGATAGCTGCAGGGGGCGGGGCGGCGCAGGCCGCTCAGCTATGTTCCTGGCGGCGCTCAGCTGTGTTCCTGGCTGCGAGAGAGGGAAAC